CACAAGGTGTGCCACCCCACACAGCCAAAACCCAGACAGGGCCGGGTCCCATCCAAGAGCAGGTGCACAGCCCACCCTTGGGACCAGGCCCCTCTGGAACATGGCCAGGGCTGTATGGTGATTTCGGGGGGGCGGGGGCAGGGACCAACAGCTGAGTGACAGTGCCACACTGTCCCCCTCCCCCGCCCCCGCAGGGGGTTACGGCATCTCAGCCCCGGGGGCCTGCCAGGCCTGTGAGACACAAACCAGCAGAGTGGCAGGAAACAGCTCCTTCTGGCCGGCGCTGCCCAGAGACCCCGGTGATGGGCCCTGGCATGAACCCCAGGGACCCGGAGAAGATCCCGGCTCCGAGCGCTGGAGAGGAAATGGGCCAAATGCTTTTGAGGCACAAGATCTCAGGACAGTGGCGATTTACTGTCTGCGCTGACAGCCGGCTTCCAGCCCGCCCTGCCAGGGCCGTTCAGAACAGGTGCCGCGTACCCCTCTGCCCCCCAGGGAACATCTCCTGCACTAGCTGCCCCTGCCCTTGGCAGTGCCATGGGCATTGGGCATGCGGAAGGGTGCAAGGAGCACCGTGTAGCCACATCCAGCCCGGCTCTCGCCGTCCCTGCCAGGGATCCGCGAAGGGAACGTCGGCGCTCGGCCGCAGCCCGTCCTGCCCAGCCCTTGTGCAGCGCCAGCAGGGCTCCCCGTTCCCATCCGCTAGCAGCGCCGGGGCATGAATCGCCGCTTGCCCCAAGGCTCGGGCAGGGTAACCCCCCAGCGGGATACCACAGGGCAGCACGGCCCACGGCTGGGACTTGGGCAGCTTCCTCTCGACGGCCCCTCGGAGAGGAGCGGCAGTGCCTCCGGGTGAGAGCTCCCCGTAAGCACACCCAGCTGGCCCCAGCCCAGGGGTCCCTGCCTGTTCCCCTGGGCCACCCTCCCCCAGGAGCAGGGCAGGCCCTCAGCTTGCTGGGAGGGGGAAGATCTCCAGGAGTTAGAGGTGGGGCTGTGGGGCAGAAGCATTTCCTGGGCCAGGGGGCAGCAGCTGTGGGGGTGATGAGAGACCCCCGACATTCAGACCAGTGTGAGACCTGTGCACCCCCCCACCCTGCCCAGAGGGGCCACAAGCCTAGATCTCCTGTGGGGGGAGGGCAGCTCTAGCCCCCCTCAGCCACTGCGTGAGCCCGGGCCAGGCTGGGCTCCGGACGGGCAGCTGGCAGAGGTGGGCCATGGCTGGCAGAGGGGCCGACAGGCGGGTGGGGCCGTGACTCTGGCAATATTTCTAACGTGCCGCGTTGGGCCGGTGACGAGCTCAGGGACAACAATGGGGGGGGCTACGTTTTCCCCTCCTACTGCATCAAAAGACTGAATATTTTCAAATCAGCTGGGGGGGGCTGTCTCTCAGCAGCCCCTTGACCAAATAGTGTCAAATGTGCACCACAAACACTCGCCCAGCCCGTGGTCTGAGCCGCCAGGTTTCCTGCTCCGTCTCCCGAGGCGTGTGGATGTTTCAAGTGCTTTGCAAAGGACATGGGGCTGGGCTGTGTCTGGGGAAGCCTGGCCCCAAGTGACCCCTATGGCACCAGCTGCTGCGAGCGACCTGCCCGTTTGCAAGCCCGGCTACCTAGGCAACTGGCTTTGAGAGCACGGGGGCGGCTGGTCTCAGGAACTCCTTGAGTAAATGCCACAACATTTGCTCCACGGAGTCATGCCCTGGCCCTGGGGTGACAAACCAATTTTCAAGCCGATCCCCCACAGCATGGGAATTTTTGAGTGCTCCATAGGTTGAAATGTCCGGGACAGCCTGTGCACGAGGAAGCCTTTCACCAAATCCACCCCCCGCCGCCATTACTGACACACACACCCTGCCCTGACAAGACCCACCCATTGTCACATCAGTGTGCGGAGTTTAGAGCAACTTTCGGAGATTGTCACTGCCACAGACCCCCCTCTGCGCTCAGCCCCTCGTCACCCAGCCGCTGCTGACAGTCACCGGCGCGGGGCGGGACCCGAACTCGCAGCCCTGGGGTGGCGTTTGCGTGCAAGGGCTACGGGCCGCTCACTTGCACCAGGACGTGCCAGCCGGCCGCGCTCACCCCCGGCTGGTCGCTGCAGTGCTGGAGGTGCTTCAGGGCAGAGCCCAGGTCTCTGCGGCCAGACTGAACGGCTGTGAAAGGCTCAGCTGTCAGTCACCCACACGGCAGGGGGCTCTGACCCCCACGCGGAGCCGGGCGGATCTGAGCCCCAG